CTTGCTTATGCCTGGCTCAGCAGGGAGTATGGAAACTGCTCTGCCAGCTCTCTGCCATTGGAAAACCTTCAAGCTCTGGGATGTGTTTCCGAGTCCAGCTTTGCAGTTAAGTACAGCACTGTAACAGGCAGTAATTACACCTCACCCAAGACTTTGGGACTTTAGGTTCAATGCTGTGGCATGAAAATGTTAGTGCACACAGCTTTTCTGAGCAGGAACAGGGACATGCTAATGTATAGCACTTCCAATGCAATTGCCTTGAATGCCTTCTCCTATATTGTACTGAACGTGCTGACATTTGAAGGTGTAAAAATACTGATCTGCCTCCACGCTCCAAGCCTAGTTTACATTTTGCAGCTCTAAATGGTAAAGCTCTTGCCTGTCACCAGCTTTTTATAGCTTGGCTTATTAGGCAAAGGGAAGAGGTGACACAGGTAACAGCTTAGGGAGAGGAATGTTTGATGGTAGAGAGACAATAATACTCATTTGGTGTAAAATGTCACAGATTGCCTCATATTTAACTGTATGTAGAGATACTGTCCTGGAAGTATTTTGCAAATTACTCAGAACACTCAACTCCAGCAATTGGTTGCATTCAGCATAAATATTTTGAGTTATTCATTACCATTAACAGAAAATAGTAATTGTTGCGTCTTGCACCTTCTCTTTTTTTAAATGAAACTTGGCAAGACCAACCACTCCTTCCTTGTGCCAAATTATGCACTATAGAGTTCAGCCCATGAAAATTTATTGTTGCAGTTGATGTAAATTGCATCTAATGGGCAAATGACTCATGGCTGTGCTTACAGCCAGCTTTGTGTTCTAAAGGCACATGCCAGCAGGTTGGAAGCAGAGGCAGAGTAAACAAGGTTATCTGTTTCCCCTCTCCTGTGACAGTTTGCTTCTTTGTGCTGGGCTACAGCGTTCCTGGGGTGACACTCTTTGCTGAGGTTCCTTCTGCTGTGGTTGCAATGGCTGTACAAACTACTGTGGGAGTGGTGCCAAGGATTGAGGGCTACAGATGAGGGCAGATCTGATCATTTAGCAGGATTTTAGTAGTGGGAACAAGCCACCAGGATACACTTCATGTAGTTTCCCTGTGCCCCACTGAAAAATTAATTGTGGGGAATGTGGGAACACAGTGCTTAAAACTGGGGAGCATCGTCTCTTTGCCTTCCTGTTCTCCCAAGTCTGCTGTAGCTGGAGCTCGGCTGTTGTTTTGTTGATGGGATGAGATTTGGTTATACAGCACCTCATGCCTATGGCCCAGCCCCAACCTGGAGGGATTAATGTGATGTAACTCATGCATTAGTGTCTGGTCAAATTGGGAAGCTAAACCAGTTTGGAGTGCAGATGAAGAAAGGTTTCTGTCCTGCTGTGAAATCTTTCAAGGCTGATGTGGAGAATGYAGCTTTGCACTGGAGCAAGTCCAAACCACTCTTCCCACTCTGGTTGTGAAGTACAAGGTAAATGAAAACAGAATTGTTATTTTGTGGAAGGGCTTTTGGAGGCTTTAGAAGAGAGGAAGATGACAACTGTGGAGCAAGACTGTCCAGAACTACTGTAGCATTTGTTAAGCTATTGACAAGAAAGTTTACTCCAGCCTTCTGTAACTTCATTTAGAATGTGATGTAATTATTCCTTATGCTAAAGCCTAAAGCTGCTTCCTGTTTCCACCATAGTAATTGTGCCAGAGGCACACCATTTATTCACAGTGTATCAGCCCAGSATATGGTCATTACCACAATAATGGGAAGTGCCTTCAAATTATTACACTTGGCAATAACTGTATCCTGAAGTAACAAACTTCTCACCATTCASCTCAGTTTATAAGCATCTCCTGATGAAAATAAACAGGAAAGCACTGATCTCCTTTCCCCTGCCCCATTGCTTTAAATGTAATTATTTAATCTTGAATATGATTTTCGAGGAGGACCTACTTCAAAGATGCTGCCACTGCACCAATATATGCTAAAAGAAAGGGATTTGTGCTTACCCGGTGTTATGGCTGCTCCATCTTCACCTCATGCTGTTGCAGTGGCAACAGGGGTGGGAAATGGAAAAGTTGGAAATTGCTTCTCTAGTACGGTGGCTCCTAAATGGAGTTGGTGTCCCCAAACATCTTACTCTCCCATCAGTTTTGCTGCTCTTGAGTGGAGTTTGCTGGGCTGGGCTGAGAAATGTACTCTCCAGGGGTGGTCACTGGGAGGAAATGCCACCTGAAGTGGTGATTTAATTCTGCAGTTTGACTTGGATATTTGGTAGTGGCTTTTTTGGCCTCCTGGATTTCGTATTGTGGCCATGACTTGTTTTGATTTCTTGAACCAGCTTTAAGCATCATATTTACCGACTTTTGTTTCCAATGAGAAAATATGTAAATTTTAATTAATTCAAGCTGAAGTTAAAAAAAAAAAAGCCTCTTGATTTGAGGCAGTTAAAGGCCGGGAGTACTTTGGATCATTTTTTCTCTGGGATTCAGTCTGGRGGCTTGGTTCACTACTTCTTGCATTCCAAACTTGTCCAGCTTTGTTGTGGTGGGATGGTTTGGTGATACGGAATGCCTGCTGGTTTCTGGCTGCTATTGCTACAGCAGTGAAACCTGCTGTTGTTCTGGATTGTGAAGTGCATGATAGTTGGGACTTCATCCTTAGTTTTTCTTAAAATCTTCCTYGACATTTCCTTCATGGCTGAGTGTGGTCTGCTCCGTGAGCTTGGTGAGCCACASAGGCAGTTCTGCCAGAGGGGAAGTTTGGAAAGGCTGCACAATACTGCATAGCCCAGCATACTGGGGAAATGCTCCAGCATCCTGGGCTGCCTTGGAGTACAGATGGAAGAGGAAATTACTCTTACTCCAGTAAGAAAATTAACAGCTCCAACAGGCAACCACGTGCATGCTATTTCTTTCCCCATAACCTGGAACTGGCAGGGCCTTGTGCATCCTGGCTGTTGCAAGAGAATCTACTGTGGGTAAACATTTCCAGCACGATCAGTGAGTTTCCTGAATCCCCTGTGTTCCTTCTGAATTAGTGCTGGTTTTTGGGGGATTCCTGAAAGTGGCTGTGCTGGTGCCAAGCACATTTCACACTGTGTGAGCCAGCTCCTTACCTAGGACACAGCAGACTTTGGCGCTGTGCTCTCGTGGCTCCATGTGCTCCTAGGGCTGGATCCCAAAGGCATCTTCTACCTAAATATTGGCAGGGAGCTTTTCCATTCCTTCATGTCGTGGACCATGAACACTTTGTGGGAGTGCAGGGCTCAGTCAGTTTTATGTCTCTCATAGCAAATTAGATCAACAGTGCCAATTATATTGGATTTGGTCAATAGGTGCTAAGGGGGCTAGTATTGCCACCTGCTTAATTCTTCATTTAATCCCTCTAGGTCCTTCCTGTATTTAAGAGCCTCCCTCCGCTGATGCTGCCTTGTCTGAAATGGCTGCAGCTGTTAATTGCAGGAAGAAAACAAAATTATGCTGCTTGGAGGGAAAGTCAGTTTGCAGAGGCTATCATGTTGTATAACTTCAGAATTCTCATATAGATCTATCTGCATTACTAAAGCAAATTAGATTTTTTCCTGTACTTGTTCTCATGCTTGTGTTTCAAACTAGGATTAGGCTCCAGGATGTGCAGTGCTAGCAAGAGGTGTACATTTGGCACATTTTAAAATACCTGTTTGAAGGCTAAAGGTGCTGTCAGCTGCAGTTTGCTGTTCATCTTTAGTGAGACTGTCTTATGGACAGATTTTGTTCTGCTGTGTACTGGGGAAAAGCCTTGTCGYGCCACTGTCCTAGACTGGATATTGGGAAGAGTCTGACAAATGCTAGTGCTGGAGAGGATGTGTTTAAAATTATCCTGGCCTGGAACTGGCAGTGGCCCAGCCTCCTCTTCAGAATAGCAAAGCCAGGAAAGAGGAGATTTCCAGGGCCTGACTGGGGCTCTTTGGCCAGGCCATCACACCAGTTCTGTTCTCATGATGCACTAGGGAGGAGAGGAAAAAATAGCTTTGGACTTTCTTTTGTATGTGAAAGGATTTGGAATATTTGCTGAAGGCAGTGGAGGGAAAATCTGCTTGTTTTGGGGTTGTTTTCCTCTTTTTGCTCCCGGTCCATGTGGGTTCCTGGTCAGTGCAAGCTTAGTAGCCGTGCTGATGAACAGGGGTGTCTGCTATGAGGTGCTTATCTTGGCTTGATAAGCAGCCTCTTGGCTTGGGGAGCAGCCTGTGAAAATAAACTTGAAATCTTCAAAGTGCTTGGAGTGAAAGTAGCATTCCCCTCAAGGATGGAGAAGTGTTGCTGTTAACCTGAAAACCAGAGATTGGGGCTAGAAAAAGGATAGTACAAAACATTCATAGCACATGCTGGATGTTCTTGGGTGTCTTTCATTAAAAAAAAAAAAGAAAAAAAAAAAGAAAAAGATGACAGGGAGACTTTTCATCACTGACCAGGCTAATGTGGTTCTGCTCATMAAGCCAGGAGCAAACAACATTTTTCTTCTCTCTGGATTTTCACCAGTGTTGGRGGCTAAATTGATTTCCTGAGGAAGCATGGGAATTTCTCCAGGACTGGAGAGCAGTGACATGGGGGGGGCTGGGGGAGAACAGGGTGCATTCAGTGGAAGTGAGACAAGATCAGCTCACTGTCTCTTGAAATCTCTCCCCCTGACGGGGTACATGAGTATCAGACCAGTGCTCAGTTCACTTTTGACCACTTTAACTCTAAGAACCTGGGACAGACCACTTTCCTTGCATTTTTAATGGTACCTTCTGCAAAGTTTTGGGTTTTTTTTCTGTGTGTAGTACCTAAAATCTAAATCATACAGATAYGACTTAGTGCCTTTCTATGAAGTTGCAACTGCTGTTAAGTCCCTACTATTTCTGCATGATTTGAGGCAAGAAGTAACAATGTAAGAAAYAAAGTATAAGAAGTAATAACCTTTTAATGTATTTTTGTGGGTTGCAGGAAAAATTTAATGACTTCCACTTATTGTTGCTTTATCTTTCTGCAGGGATGTGAAAGCAGGAAATATTCTTCTTGGAGAAGATGGCTCAGTGCAAATTGCAGGTAACTTTCCTGGTAGTATAACCAGGCATCCAAAGAAACAGTTTAATGATCAAGGAGAAACTTGCATAAAAATGTGTGCTTCAAAAGGCCCCACACTTCTTAAAACAAACAAAAAACCCCAACAATAAACCAACCACAAACCAAAATGAAAAACCAACCCAGAGATTATTATGCCTTGTTATCTTAAAATGCTATCACTTGGAATAATGACAATCAACAGAAATAAATCATTTGACTGTGAAGTCCTCAGAATCAATAGATCAGATAAAGTTCTTGGCATAAGCTAGTCAGATTTTATATCAGCAAGTTTATGGGCTTGGCAATGGAGTGCACAGACCTCACCGATTTATCATTGACGTGTGTGGTGGTTTGCGAGAGGACTCTGGTGAAGGGTGGACAGATCTATCAGAAGGAAATGGGCATATCTGATGGTAAAAGTCATTTAAGGAAAGATCAGCTGGTCAAACTGCTCCTGTGGRTGGTCCCTGCTCCGCTTCAGTTGAGCTGGATGGCAGAGAGTGTGTTAAGTGCCTACCCTGGCCCAGTCCAGACTGGGGTGAGCTGGAAGTCTTGGAAGCAGTCATGCAAGGAAAAACTGTTAAGACAATTGCTTTAGCTAACACAGATGTGCCTGGAGATGTCTGCTACAGTCACTGCTGTCATGAGCTGCAGCAACAGAAGTGTGTTGGAAGCAGTCCTGGGTGGGGATGGACCATTGGGAAAAGGCTATTGAGTGATGTGTTCTTCCCCCTGACCCTCTTCTGATATTTTATTTTCATACATGTTTCTACAGACTTCACTCTTCTTCCCAGAAATTAAGAATTATGTCCCATCCCTGTAAGCATTCAAGGTTGCAGGGGGCACTGAGCAACCTGTTCYAGTTGAAGGTGTCCCTGCCARTAACAGGGGGTTGGATAAGATGACCATTAAAGTCTCTTCCAACCCAAACTATTCTGTGGTTTTGATTATTATTATTGCAGACTATTAAGTAAGCCAAGRTTTTTGGAGAGTACATTTAGAACCTGTGGTATTTGTTTTTCCTTCTCTTCCCAACATGCTGTGTTCCTATTCTGAGTACAATCCTTCTCTGCTTCTCCTTTCCCGCAGGACCGTTCTTGCCATGGATCTTGTAGTGCCTTTTGAGTCCTTGTGCCACCTTTAGCTGGAGGGCAGAGCTCGTGTCCTGTCCTGCTATTTTGGCAAACATCCYTGTACATGTTTAATGTTTTCAATCCCATGTTTAGATGGGAAAATCCATATCTGTGAGTGACAAGCCCTCTTCTTCAGTGCCCTGTCCTGTTGATAGAGGCACAGCAGTGGGTCAARCCAGTGTGCCGGGAGTTTAGGGACAAGGCAGTGACTGTTTTGTCAGGGAGCAGTGCCTGTAGCATTGTTTATTCCTTTGGAATGTCTGTGTCTGACGTTGCATCTTAGAATGAAAGGTGTAGATTTTCCACCAGGAAGCAGAATAAGTTGCAATGCATTTTTTATAGATAGCTCTCCTCTCTGCAGAGGACAATAAGCCCTTTTACAGGACATAACACCTACTTCTGGTTAAAACCTGAAGTTGCTTTGTTTTCCTTTTTAAGTCTCCTGGTGCCCTTAATGCCTGCTGTWACATTTCTAAAGAGGTGTAAATAATTCAGTTGTGTGGCCGCTGATGCAAGGTAGAGAGTGGCTTTTCAAATGCTCAAAGAAGCAAACTTTTTACAGTGAAATGCTACAGTTTTCTCCATATTGTGGCCAAGTTGTAACTCTTCGGGTTTGTAATTGCATGGAGCTTTTGATTCTCTTCTAGGAGAGGCTGCGGAAAGCTGTAACTCCGAGTGTGTCTGCCAGAGAGAGCTTACTTGTGTTTCTCTTCCACATGGGTGTCAGGGCTTGGCTTTTTTGTATTAAGGCTCACTGGCCTTAAATACCTGTTCGTGTATTTTTTCTGCTGAGCAATTTTTAGTTGCTAAGTAGATTTAAGGTTGATTGGACTTAGCTCTCTGCATTTCAGAGTATTCATTTTGTCYCTGATTGTACATGTGCTCCTAGACTGAACTACTCATGGTTTATATGTTCAAAATTTAAATGATGAAATCCATCTCTCTGCATATCCTGCGAAATCAGCACTGGGAGTTGTGCAAAGTTCCCTCTTTACAAATTCTTTCTTTGAACATGCAAAAGGACTAACCCCGCCACCTTTCATCAGCCACAGCAGGGCCACTAAACCAAGGTCAGAGGGTTCATTGCAGTGGCAGGAAGCTCTTTCGTTTCTGTGGAGGCASCTGATGACTTGAAAGAAATGAAAATAAATGAATAAATAAGAAAGAAGAGCCTGACCTGGTCATAACATTAGATTTTGTTTCTGTGGGAATTTCTGACACTTAAACTTCCTTGCCTCCTGACCCAGGATGAAGTAGCAAAATTTCTCGGGAATTTTTTGAGGAGGAAAAAATGCTGGAAGCAAACCAATTGCAATAAAACAAGATTTGCTTCAGTGAGATCAAAGCACTTGCCTTTGACAATAATATTAATGCATATTATGAATAATTCTGTTCATTGTTGAGTGCTTCAATTATGAGTTGGATGACATCACTTTGTTCCCATGAAACAAACGAAACAAATGCTCTTAGGTTTCATTGGAAAGTTACACCACAAGATGAAAAACAAAAGATTGATCAGCTGTGGAATGTAGCCTGAGGGTTGGAGGGAATAGGACACCTCCCTGCAAGGAGCTGGTTTGGTGTGCATGAAAAATTTAAGTCATGTAGCAGGGAAGAAAGGCTTCCATTCTTTTATAATGACTCCTTCCCTTCTGCCATTCCTCTATTCAAGCTGCCTGTGAACAGTTGTTAAGGTCTYAGTCAATCTTTGGCCTTTGTGACCTTGTGTTCCTCCATGTTTCCTACTGCTTGACACAATTCCTGTTTCTTGTCCCAAATGAAATGTAATTCTTAAATGTAAATGAGGAATGTACATCTCAATCTGAAAATCYTATGAGGGGGGAAAAAAGCAAAGGTGCATTTGAGATTGAGTGGTGGAAATCTCACTGCAGGACTGTACCTCCACAACRTGTCAGTGAATTGAATTACTTGAAACTTTCACTGTATGGAATTTATGGCAGTAATTTTTCTACAGTATTGCACAGTTGTAACCAGTGAAAATTGAAGCCTCTTTTGTGAATTCAGGCTGTGCAATTCTGTTAAGGCTGAACAGGAAAAGCAATTTGGTGAAGTTGTATCAAGAGTTTTCTCAGGTTCTGTTTGTAACCCTGAATTGGTGGTTGTGCATATAGGAAAAGCCACTGTGGGAGCACTGTGAATTGAGGTGGGTGCAGGTAAAGAGATGGAGGAGAAATGTGTGACCTGGAGGGCATCTGCTGGAAGTGGGAATTCTAAAAATTCCTCTAATGGCCTGCACAAATTCTCCGCTTGAAACTCCTCCCCAAGTCTTATTTTTACTCTTGACTCTATTTTTAACTCTGTAGCTCTTTTTGCTTTCAAAAAGTGCATCTACTGAACCAAGAAGAAAATTGCCTTTAACAGATCCAACTGACCAGCGAGACCTAAACTGAGGCAGTTTGCTTCTATCTTGGCATTTCTTTTTTTTTCCCCCCAAGGGCACTGGCTTGGACTTGTGGCTTGGCACCAAGTTTTCAGGGCCTGTTACAATTCAAAGTGTCGCTTTCTCAGTTTGMAGTGTTTTCCTGCACACTGGATTAATCTGTCTTGTGGAGAGAGCGGGACTCTTTCCCACATACCATTGTTCTGGGCTGTGCTGACAGTGGTTGCAATGTAAATGGAGATAGCCACGTTCTTTTGTGTTCCAGCCTCTCCATGGCAATTACTTCATTTCTTTTAATCAGAGCATAAAACCTCTTTGCCCTGGCATTTATCAGATCCCTGGAGTCTAAAAAGTGCACAGATTAAAACCACTCTGTCAACATAAAACTGCATCAGCACCAATATTGCTGCATAAACCAGGAGATGGCTTCTCACAGTAAGCAAGGCTTTGCATTAGTCAGTTTATTTAATTATGCAGGACCTATAACTTACTGTGAAATGAAGTGAACATCTTGATAGACTGGGAAGGGATGGAAGAGGTTGAGGAAAAACTCCCAGGGTGCATGATACTTGTTCACTATAAGCCACGCTCCACGATGGCACGATGTGAGCATCCTACTGAGACTGAATGCAGACTAAATGTTTTTTCCCTCTGATTTTATCCACTGTGATATTAAATAATGCTGTCACCCACCCCTCCGAGGCTGAATGTGACAGGTGTCTACTGAAGGCTGAAAGGCACGCATCCCTCCACGTGTAGATTTTTTGATTGTGGAGACAATAACATCATTATCTTCGGGATTTGAAACCAGAGAATTCTTAATGCGCAGTCCCCAGAGGTGCCCGCAGTGTCAGCCGTGGCCTGGGCAGGCCGTGTTGCCAAGCAGTTGAAGTAGATTGAGATTTCACTAAGTCGTTCAGGACTTGCTAATTGATCCTGGGCAAATTGCCTAACCCCTCTCTCTTTATCTATTTATAAAACGGGGATAGTTAAGGCCAGGCAAAACTTGTGTAACTGAATTTGTGTAACTTTCCACAAATCCATGCCAGCTTGTCACCGGTTCACTGTGTTCCTGACTGCTCTTAATTCATTGTACTAAAATAGCGCTCTACATAAACATCRAGCTATGATGCAGGCAGTGTCATTCCCCACTTTCCCTTAGGAAACTCTAACTTTGGGAGATTAAATTGCCTGAACAAGGGGGAAGGCACAAATCTAACTCGAGAGGGGAGTGTGGATTGTAGGGTTCACTCAAGGAGCCTGTGTTGTATCATGAACACCTTGGAGCCTCTTCTCCCTTTCAAAAAAAAAGCCAAAAGTATTTTTCTCTGTGATTGGTGGAGAATTTTAGGCCCTCTCCTACAGCCTCATATTGGGAAATAACTTTCTTTTTGTGTCACTTGTACAGTGTATGTTTCTTGATGAGCTATGGCACTGTTTGATTGTTGAAACCAMTTGTGAACGTCTCTGAGGGTAGTGGGTGGTATCACCCAGCCTGGCCTTTGTCATCCTTAAGTTACTTTGTGAAGTAGAAGGACAAGTGTGCATTTACAGACCCATTACCACTGTGCATCCATCTAGACTTTAAAAGGAAAGAAGCCTTTGATTCTTGTTCTCCACTAATCTTCCTTTTATCTGGTGTCCTACCAGCTGCTGTGTTCTCAGCACAGAATGGCTATTTATCACTGTCTTCCTCTTCTTGCTGCCAGGTTTATTCATCTTAGTGCTCTAAAAGCTGTAAGATTTGCAGGAAAGCACTAAGTGCAACTGCTGATATTTTCTGATGGAGAACAACTGAACAAGAAGGAAGGTGACTGGTGAAAAAAAACACTTAGTGTTGTATTGTGAAATACTTTTTGTTTAAAGACAACTCTGAGTGGTTTTGAAGTCAAGATTGAATTATTCTGTTTTTCTGCCCCTGTTTGAAGGTGAAAACTGCTTTAGGGTCTCATCCAAGCCYACCAAACTCTGTTGGAGCCCTTCTGATGTCAGCAGGCTTTGGTCCTGGCTCTCAGTGTGCATTCTTCATTTMTTTCCCTGCTGTGTACCTTGTAGGTAGCTAAGTGCACTAGCAGGTACTTGGGCTTTTAAGGGATTAATGTTAGTGTTACACTATGAGATGGCCAAGGAGAGATGATTTTAAACAACTGACTTGTACATTTGGATAAAACAATTTGTAATATGGTAGAAATGTATCTTCCTGAAAGACACACCTGCAGTGGAACCTGTTGTCATGTGGTCCTGCCATWGCATTTTTGTGTTGGTGAATTGTGTGTACAGTCTTTCCTTTCAGCTTCTGCATTTCCGGAGTAGCCGGAATAGTTTTTAAGTTCGACAGTTTGGATACCTTAACAACAGTAATTGTTGCCTCATACCATAATTTTTCAAACACTACTCTGCAACTTCATTGCCACTGTAGAGTGTCCTGTAGGGTATGTGKTTTGCAAAACATGATTCTGCTGAAGATGACAAAATTTGCCATATTTTGTGCAGAGYATGCATCAGCAAAATTGACATTCCTATCTTGGATTGGTTTTGCTATGATATGAGAGTCTAGACATCCACATCTTTATGGTTTTTTTCCACAATATTTGCTTTATGTGACTGAAGCAGCTCCAACAGATGAATCTTTTCTACATTGTTTCAGAAAAATAATAAAAATAAAGATCCTACCACTTGCACCCAGAACATCCTGGAGACTGTTATTTGCTATCAGATTGCTGCAAGTCTGCAATTTTTGGGCTCCTTTAGGATATCTGACAGTCGGTGGATCCCCAGCAGTGTCCAAACGTTTCCAATTTCTGACTGTCTGGTGATTCAGTCCTTTCCAGTTATCACCATAGTGAGCCAATATAAACTGCGAGCTGCCAAGGAAGAATACAAATGTGTAAACACTTTAGAGCTATCCTGAATTTCATGGATTTCCCCATTTTCTAGAGTTAAATCCATTTGCAATAACCTAGTTCTGTTTTAACCTTTCTGGGGGCAAAGAGATTGAGGCACAGATGGTACCAACTGCTCMGAATTAGAAAATTAGGAATTGAACCTGAACTTGCATTTGAGGTTGTGWTTTATTGCTTTACAGATATTTCCTGAGAGCAGGCGCATTCTTATCTGAATAGCTGAGGCTTGGATAAAGTTAGTAAGATGACATTTGAGAAGATGGTCTCAAAGTCATTCCTTACAGCAGAATAGCACAGGCTGTTTGAGCCTGTTTTAGCCCACTGGAAATGAGGGAAATTAATTGGGAAAACATTAAATAAATCAACCATGTAATGAAATAAACTTTAATTCCATTTAAGTTTTCCTCAGATGGCAGATGTAGGGGCCTGATTTCCATCTGGAATTTATAAAACTGTGTTTGATGTGAGATGTGGTGAACACTGTAAAGGACTTGTGTTTTTACTGCTGGAATGCTTTTGCTTTGAATGGCATTTCCTTTCCCCTAAAAATGACTGCATGGAAACTTGAGGTAAGATGATATGTGCAAGTTCAAATACAGCACATCACAATAAAATGCTGATGGCACTCAGACAAGTTTCTATTAGTATTATCTTATTTAAAAGAACTACTAATTGCTCATGTGTTTAGAACAATAGATCTTGCAAGACTTCCTGTAGYGAGCAGTAAAAGGCAACTTTACTCTGAGTCTTTTAGGAAGCTCCTTCAGTTTCTGAGAAAAGCAAGGGTGGTGCATATTCATATGGAAGATCTCAAAGCAATAATCACTGYTTTGATAAGTGGGTTTCCAGAAAAATACAGGTTGCAGTGCTGATGGGGAGTGATCCATCTAGACATTCTAAAACTTCGAGGTTAGCAGGAAGCCAAGATGCCTTTGGAAACAGGAAGAGAATAGGACAGCACATCTGGGAGAGCTGAATCCTAATGCTGGTTTTGTTAGTGCTGGTTTTAGCACTGTGATTTCTGTGCAGCTTTCTTTAATTTTCAGTTACCCATGTCTAGTACTTCAGTGAGCACTAAGTTCTTGTCCTGGAAGTCTTTAACTAAAGTGAGCTGAAAGCTTTCAGCATCTTTTGAATGATAACTTAAGTGGTGTTTCTCAAATATTGAAGTACTAATGAGAAGTGATTCATTGCACTGCTGGTGTRATGCAGAGGGAAACTTGGGACAGTATGAATGCCATGACTTGCAGATTTTAAGGAGGGAGCTTTTGTTGCATTTGATTCTTTACTACAATATCCTTAAGCCATGCAGTTACTCTGGTTYCTCTATCCAGAGAGGCAAAGGCTTTTGCATTTTGCATTGTTCAGCAGAGTTTCAAGAATTTTCAAGCAAGTTGTGATCAATAATATTCTGGTTTTATGTTAAATGGCCCTGGAATTTCTGAGATTTGCCCTCCAAGCCTGTCATCAATCTCAAAAATGGCATTCAAGATTGTGATGGTTTGTACTGTGTTTAAAAAAAAAACAGTGTGTGGATAAAGTTGAGTTATATGTTGAGTTATAGGCCCATTGCAGGTCTGCAATTCAGAAATATGCAAGTAGTGTAGTTTGGACCAGATTAGGAAGAAATACAGTTCTGGGTTAACAGTTTCCCTGTTGCTTGATTTTTTTTTTCCTCCAAATAAAATGCCATCCTCTCTTGAGTGACTTGGTTGCCAGATCTTTTGTAATGCTCTTCTCTGAACAAACATACTTTATCCCATTGCTATGCCTATATGCTGCTGCTGGTGATAGATTCTATTTTCCATTTTTAATTTCATAAAGCATCAAGGTTAGCTTTGTTTGACGGCATATTTTCACATAAAAGATTTATTCTAAGAAATACAATTACCAGCAAATGTAAAGGGCATCTTTGAGCATCCTTCAGTTTGTAAAAGGTGTTTCAGGTGAGGGTGATGCTGTGCAGGATGTGAATACCTGTCTGTGAGGCTTCCCTGGGATGCTTGGGCTGGTTTGTGGAACATGCAGTATCATCAGGAGCTGGTCCAAGGCTCTGTTAGAGCACTGAGCATTTGGGCCATGTAAGATTATCAAAATAAAACAATTCTGGTAATAAAACATCCATAATAAAGGGCTGATACCTCATTTGCAGTTAGGATAGTTAAATGTTACCAAGGGACTTTTTCTGCACCCAGCTTGTTTGTTGTGGATGTTACAGGATGCTGCTTGAGGGCCAGCACAGTTGTGTGTGTATGCAAATGTGAATAAAGCTCTGTCTGGCAGGGGCAGGTTTGTACAGCAGCAAGGCTGCTGGGGGAGTGTGGGCAGGCTCTAATGTGACCAGTGGGCTGTAATGGAAAGTGGAATTTTCCTCTCTGCCAGCCAGGACTGAAAGCTCTGCTGTCCCCAGGAATTGAATGGTGAACTGCTGAATGGCAGTTCATGTACCAGCACTCTTAGCTAACTTGATCATTTCTCCTTTATTAGGAAACCCCTCATGCGTGTCTGCATGGTCTGGTACTTAATAGGTGGCTGGGAATATGAGGGGGAAGAAGGGACAGCCCTTCAGTTTGCTCAGGATGTGTTCTTAATAAATTCTGCTTTTCTTTTCTTTTCAGACTTTGGAGTTAGCGCGTTTCTGGCCACCGGTGGTGACATTACCAGGAATAAAGTCAGGAAAACTTTTGTGGGCACACCTTGCTGGATGGCACCAGAAGTTATGGAACAGGTGACTTGTTTTTCCCAGTGTCCTCTGACATGACCTGCACCTGGAATTCCCTGTTATCAKCAATGACCATATTTATTTCAAACTAAGATGACAATTTGGCATCCTGAAGGGTTTTCTTAAAACCACAGGTTTTTGTTTGACTTGCCTATTACAGCCAGACTCGTACACTGSAATATTAAGTATTCAGTAGATTTTTGCCCCATTGCTTCTCTTCACACTCCTGCCTAAGGTGAGGATGAGACAGCTCAGCTGTTGCATAAAGAGGATTAACCTGCCCCTCCCTTTTGCATAAAAGTGGGGTGGAATATAAATAGTTTCACGCATGGTAAATGTGCACATACAGCTCAGTAACGTGCTCTTCTGCATCTGCAAACATAAGAATTTGGGGTAATTAATTGTGGCACATSAGAGTGAGGAGTTAGTTCAGTAAAATAACATGCATTTGACTTTGTTCAGGTTTTTAACTTTTCTTGGCCTTTAAGTATCCAGGCTCTAAATGCTGAGGAATGCTTGCATTTCCCCCTTCTTCCTCTGCTCTTCTGGCTCACTAAAAGATGTCATACTTCACCCCTTGGGTGGAGAAATGTCACTTTTTGTCTTGCACTTCTTCTAGACTAGCTTATGGAAGTTTTGTCTGTGAGACTTCTGATGAAGGACCCCTGGAAACTTTAATGTAAAATTGCTGCCCATTTCTAAACAAGATCCACACAGAAAATTACACCACASTCTTACCAAGGCATTTACAGTAGCTGTCAATGGCATTGATGTTCAGTGCCATAAGCATTCCAAAAATTATCCCTCATTCCCTTCAAATCAGTTTGACACAGGGCTGGGTTTCTGACAGGTGTGCTAAGCAGAAATATAACGGGCTATAAATGGGTTTTCATTTTTCTTTCTAATTTTTTTTAACAAAAATTTTTAAGGAAAAGATTGTTTTGTTMTAGTAAATCCACCTTGATACATTCCTCTTTGCTATTGTTCACAATAATAAAATATTTTATGCTTGGAAGGAACTTCAATAAGACCCCCATGTATATCTGTATCTAAAATTAAATGCAGMTAAACACGAGTGCATTAAAGTGCATTTTAATGCATATTTTTCGAATATCTAAAACTTCCTGAGGAATGGAGATAATTTTGGAGTAGCTTAAATACATTATTGATGAAAGGCTTGTTCAGTGTTTGGCCTTTTCAGTGGCTCCCCATGGTGGCACTGAGGGGCCGGTGCATTCCAGCACTGCTGCAGCCTCCTCAGAATGCAGGTCTAATCGGGCAGAATAAAGCCACACTTCCCAAGTCAGGATTGTCTTTGCAAACTTGATTCTGAGCTGCTTTACTGTCATATTCTTCTGGATTTTTTTAATACTAATTTTAAATAAATAGTGTATTTGATGTTCCAAAGCCAGATCAGAGCTGTCTCTCACTTTTCTGTCCTGTGTCATACCCAGGGCACAGCAGCCTGGCCAGGACTTAATGGTGCTGCTCCAGGCTCTTTGCAGCTGCAGGACAAAAGGGAAAAAAATCTCAAGGAGAGAGCTAAATAGGGGAAATAAAGATTTCAGTGACAAAGTGGGGGGTGGTTCCCCACAAGTGTGTTTCCAAAGGAGGTAAATTTTCTAGGGAGTGCAATACCTCATCCAAGGCTGTGCACATCTAAATCTAACCAGTTGCAAATATCAAGTTAAAGCAGTATTTGGGGTGCTGATGGTGCACTGATGTGAAATGTTTCAATGTCAATTAGATCATCTTGCTGCCTTCCAGCAGGTGTCACTCTGAGCCCCTGGATCCAACTGGGAAGAGGGACAGAGGGCTTGCTCTAGGTTGGCCTTCCACATGTAGATATTATCGACCCAATTCCAAATGGTTTGCCTCAGCACCATTAAATTCCTTTAGAATGTTAATATTTGATTGCTCAACATTGCATTTTTAAATGTATAGTCACTTGATAGATTTATGGCAAAAAACTGGATGAGAAAAATAAATGTTGATATAAACTTACTGCAGGGTGGTGACTAATATATTGGACAGATGTCAAGATGAGCTACTGTAGACAGTTTTGAGCTTTATAGCTTTCATTTACAAGCAGGACTATGTGCAATAATTGCCACACACACACACACTAACACTAATAACCTTGTCAGGAAATAGGAAATTGTACAGTGTATTGGTGTGCTGCAAATAGAACTGAAAGATGGAGCTAAGAAATGCCCAAAAGTTCTCAAAACCTAAAAACAGTGTGAGAGAACAAGAAACCACTTTTACAATGTATTTCTTGTTCTGTACGCTTTTAAGTTATACTAGATATCTGTGCTTGTTTATTTAACTGACTTGAAATCTGTTCAAAATCATGGAATCCATAAACTGAGGCAGAACATTTCAGACTTTTAGAGCTCATGAAGATTATGCTTACAAGGTTGAAGAGGTTAGTGCAAGATATAAATTCCTGTCTCTATAATAAGTTTCAGTTCAACTAYAGTATTACATGATAAATAGTGCAGGAAGAGCCAAGATTCAAGATCATCTTAAAGGTAGCTTGGGGAATGCTTTTTGGCTTCATCACAAGGAGTATCTAAAGCTTGTTAGGTTAGCTGAGCACAACACCCCTGTTAGCTCTGCTCTGATTCAATTTTCAGTTTTGCATAGTGTAGTGAGAAGAAATACAAACCATCCTAAGCAATCAAAAGGCTTTGATTTTCAGAGCTGCTCTTGAAGTTAGTACATAATGTCTCTCCCCTGCAGCGGAGAAAGCAAGTGCCAAAATATTACCTAATGATAATGAGGAAGTAACCGCTTTGGCATATGAAATATTTTTTCCTGTGCAGGAGGGGAAGTAAATGCTATAAATTTTCCTGAACAAGCCTGTGTTTAATGTCAAGTGCAGAAGCTACTGTTAATTAGTGGAGGGAAACATTAGTCTGAGACAGGAATGAGGGGCTTTTACTGGGCTGGTGTATTGTGGATGGAGCATGTTTGCAGTCAGACTGATTAAGTGGTTGACTAAAAGTGTAGTGAGGCAGGTGTCCCAAGGGGTAGCAGTCCATCTATTAACTATGAGAGTTTTATTACACTGTGTAATGATTCCCTGTGTCTGTGTGTAGAAGTCAGAACACTTTAGCCCAGTGCCCCTTTATGTTCTGCACTGGAGCTTTTGGCAGAGSAGTCCTGCTTTTACAGTGCATAATCATGATTTTCATCAGACTGTGACTTCTAAAACACCTCCTTGAAGGTGTAAGGAACAGGGGGGAGAGGAGGGAGAAAGTGTTTTTTCCATCTCTGTAGTGTTGGTCTTTCCAAATTCAAGGGGAAAGGGTGTGGGAAAGGCATGGTACTGTAGGACAGCAAGAGGCATGTGATAATATCCTCTAATATTTTTCAGGTCAGAGGATATGATTTCAAGGCAGACATCTGGAGCTTTGGGATCACTGCTATTGAACTGGCCACAGGAGCAGCTCCTTACCATAAATACCCACCGATGAAGGTGAGCAGGTCTCYAGATCCTTGTGCAAGATAAGGGATCAKTGTGTTCTGTGGGTGTTTCCAAGAATTTGGCTCGCATGTTGCACAGTAGAGTTTGTTCCTCTTAACTTAGCACGTTGCATAGAAGAGTTTGTCCTTTCAACCTGCATTTGYGGATCATGATGTTCTTGGATGTATCTTGAATCACCTTTTAAAAATACACCACTTCATCAGCATTATCTGAAACAGCAGTTTTTATTTAGATCTTGAGTCTCACCGTTCTTAAGGAAAGTGCTGTGTGTTTTGAACCTCTGAAGTCAGCAGATGTTTTTAGGGTTATAAATAATGGTCCAAAATGCCTAATGGGCATCCAGTGACACTGGGATGGTGAGCCATTCTTTCTCCTGCACTGATAATCCTTTTGATACCTCTCAGAGATTCTCTTGCTAACTCTTGTGTTACTAGTCCTGTCAATCACTGCTCCAGTTCAAAGTACCACATCAGTATGAAACTGTGTGGTATTGGCAACAATAGTATTTTATTAATGTTGAATTCAAAGAAATGTTCTGACACTTAAGAATTCTTTTTCAAATACCTTGAATCTTAGATCACCTTATAGTTTGGCTAATTGTCCCTGTTTCCTAATTGAACCAGGAGCTACTTCTAACATGCTGCTCTTTCAGGGAGAGGTTACATCTTAAAGTTAAGAGTTCACACCCATCAGTTGAGGTCTGAAACATCCTGCCCTTTTACTGAGCTTTGAGATCCTTTTCCTTTCTCATTTGTGATAATTAATGAGGCCTTGCCTCAATCACAAAACTTTAAGCCTCTTTGGCCCACCCTCTTGAAGGCCACTTTGGTTCTCCTCCTAGGATGTGTGGTCTCTCGAATCAAACATGAGCGGGTGGAGAGCCTGATGGTTAGAGCAGGGATATGAGGCCTGTGAGTATCAAGTTCCTCAGTTTTGGGTACTGGGAGAGCGATGTTTTGCACAGGCAGATAGTGATAGTAAAAGGGGGAATGGCTGTAAAGTAAAAGAGAAGAGATTTAGGTGAGATGTGAGTAAGAAATTCTTTACTGTGAGGGTGGTTGAGGCACTGGAACATGCTACCCAGAGAAGTTGTGGATGCCCCATCCCTGGAGGTGTTCAAGACCAGGTTGYATGGGAATTGGAGCAACCCGGACTAGTGGAAAGTATGCCTGTCTGTGGCAGAGGGATTTCAATTAAATGAGCTTTAAAGTCCCTTCCAATCCAAACCATTCAATGATATTGGGGGCAAGCATTCCTTTTCTGAGTTTTCACTGCTGGAGTGTTGTGCGAATTGGGTCTCACCTCTTCAGGACTTGGGTGCACCCCTTCCCATGCCACAGTCACAGTAGCATGTGGGAATCCAGCAACTCCTACGTCAGAACAGGCACATCCATGTATCCCTTTAAATACTAGGACTTTGCAMGGGTTCAACTCTTGTAGAAAAGAATTAATTTTAAGACTTGCAGAGRGACTGTTGAAAGTAGTTCAGAAATGTCATTAAATTTCCTCTAATATCAGTGGCTGTGGCAAAGCARAAAGCAGTTCAGGGGACTGTGTTGCTGATTTAGGTGCTGCTGGTTTCATTGATATTTCCTTCTGGGCTATGATTATTGGTAGCATTTTGCAGCAGCTTCTGCAAGTTACACTTCTGTTTATTGTGATTTGAATGCACAGGATGAAGCTTTGAATACCAACAGCACCTATTTAGTATCTACAGCACCTGCTTAGTGCTGTCATATGCTAGATAGAATTAAGTCCCCAATTCTGTAAGGTTTGGGTTCCAGTCATGCAGCCTGCAAGAAGACTTCTCTATGTTATTTATTGAATGTAATTGTATTGCACTGCAGATTAATTTTGTTATGCAGCAAAATTACTCACGCATTAAAATGTAACCCTTCAAGGGGTGGGGAAGGAAGCAGGGAGTTCTGTCATGGGCTGTATAATTTCAGCTAGATTGATGGGCTTTTGCTGCCCTAAGCAATATAGCTGTTGAAAGCTATTTAAATGTGCTATGTGCTGTTTCCTTTTCTAAAAATAGATGTTCATCTGTATGTAGGTGACAAGTGGAAATGGAAATGAGTAATTTTCTTCCTTTCCTTCAGAATATTTAAGTGATGTGAGGGAAATAATCAGTTTGGCTTGATGGGTGCTTATGTGAGGAATGTCTTCACCTGCTGTCACATTGGTACATGGAAGTGAACTCTGGTATTTTTTTATGTTGCCTTTCTGTCTTTAATTTGATTTCCAGCTAAGAAATACCTTAGGGAGGTGTATTGAATCAAAAGCCTTGCACAACTGCTTATCTCAAATGAGGAAAGTTTGTGGAAGTTCTGCTCTGCTTGCAYTTTTAATCCCACAAAACAGACCTGAAAGCACATTCCAACCTTGTATTCGGCCCACAAACTGCTCTGTGGGCCAGGAAAGGGATGGAAAGCAGGAACTTAAATTGTGGGTGTTTGTTGTCAACACGTCCTTGTTGACTCAGATGTTTGATGAAAGTGCTTGTCTAAAATACATTTTCCCCAAGATCTATCTCTAACAAATGCCAARGAAAATCTCATTGCCAATAGACATAATTATTTCAGGTTTTAATGCTGACGTTACAAAACGATCCTCCATCTTTGGAAACTGGTGTGCAAGATAAGGAGATGCTGAAGAAATATGGGAAATCATTTAGGAAGATGATTTCATCGTGCCTACAAAAAGACCCKGAAAAGAGGTAAGAACAGGTAGCTCCAAATTTATTAAAACAAACAAGCAAAGAAAAAAAAGGCCAAACTCACAAATCTCATTGTATTCCCTATTTTTTGAAGTTGGTATACTCTTTGCCYTTCCAACTTTCCAGTCACGAGGAACACAGCAAACTTGCTGTGTGGCAACAAATTCTCTTGGCTGTCCTTATTTTTATGAATAAATGTCTGGCACTGTGCCTGGCCAGGGCACACATCTTCTATTTGGGTTAATGAGGGTGCATCCCAGTCCACTGCCTGGGTAGGGCCACCTCCAGCAGGTGACTTCAGTTCATGTTTTGTTCCCAGTCAAAACTGCTCTGTGTTTATAAATCAGAAATTACAGGTTGGGCAATACRTGTTTACTTGTAAAGGTACATAAATAAACTTTTTAAAATTTGCCAGAGCAGAGAAGGCTTTCAGTGTAGCTGTGACTTGTTTAATTAAGTCTAATATTTRATTTGGAGGGGAAATCAGGAAAAACAGTGGCAGATTTTACCAACATGTTTTCATCAATACTGGCTGCTTAAGTGACCTGATGACACTTTCAGCCTTCTTTGGACAGTATCTTGACTATTCAGTGATGTGGGAAATATTACTAGGGGGTGGTGTGTGTGCTGTGCRATTTTTTGATGCCTCTTAGGTTGTTTTTTTTTTCCTCCTCAGTAAGCACATTTAATTCTGGAAAGGAAGAAGTGCTTTCATAAAATAATAATACTAATGAAGACAATTTTCAGTTCCCTTTTGTGTCAGATCCAGGAACACAGGCTTCTCACGCACCATGCAATGAGTCTCTCTCTCCTAACAAGCATTGCACTTGAATGCGTAATGAATCCAGTGGAGTGCTTGATAAAAGTTGATAGCTGGCTTTTTTTTCCAGCATGACATTTTTTCACCTTTCTAAAGCATATCCTATCCTTGCAGATTGGGATGTGTGCTGCTCAGATTGCACATAATCACTGAATTGTGGCACACCCCTTCTCTCTCCTCAAGCACTACTGAGAGCCGCTGGCATCATCCTGACTGGGAGCAGGAGGCTGGCATATTGCATGGGAAGAGAATTGAGTGCAATTGCTTTTTGATTATTTTAGGGGCTCCCTTGCTGTAAGGTGGATGCCTTTTGTTGGAGTAGTCCATGGTGAAATAAACCCTGTGATGAATGGCCTTTGCAAATGGCTAATTAAACTCTGTTACTATTTAAGCACAGTTTGCAGTGTGGCAAATGCTGTAAGCTGCTAGTTTCTCATTTAGGCTTGAGTCTTTAGGGAACTCCTTCTAAACTGACGAAAGGATTTCCAGTATTTATTCTGAAATCTGACTTGAAGGGGAAAATAGTTCATACTTGTTCATTTCTATTAGACCAAGATTGATCATCCCACCTGTGTTTACTAGAACTAATTACACACATTTAATCAAATGTCTCTGAAATAAGTATTACATGCACAGGGGGAGTACTGTGCTCCAGTGATGACTCTGTGATTTCAATTTTGAGCAAATTGCTTCTGTGGTCCTGTTGCTATCTAAGAGTCCTAAGTTCMGCATCAAAATGGGAACAAATTCTCCCCACCGATCCCAAGTTATTCATTGCTTTTGAACAGAATAGACCTTGCTCAGAATACATTGAGTAATTTACAATGTTGCTGATGTAAAATTTATGTGGAATACATTGATTTTAGGGGAATTATGCAGGAGAAGCTGATGCCCTCATGAGATGCCAACAAGCTGCAGCAGCCTGGAAGACTCTTGGGTTGAAAGGGAGCATTTATAATTGTCTTTTCTACATCTGTTTTTATTGACAGACCAACAGCAGCAGAACTCCTAAGACACAAATTTTTCACGAAAGCAAAGGTAAGAAAACACTTCCTAAACTGGTTTGTGCAGAAGCTGTAGAAAGGACTTTTCAGAAGCATGATAGGTGTGAGTGACAGCTTTACTGGCGGGAGTGTGGGCTCTTTCACTCAGAGCCAGCAGAACTGAGTGAGTTGAATGGGTCATTGTAAAAGAACAGAATTAAATCCTCCTTYTGTACCTCCTATGTATGCTATTGTTAACAGAAGTAATGTAGAAATTCTTGAGCATTTAAATGTCTTTCAGTGCCTTTTGGGTTTGTTCTTCCTTTGTAATGGTGCCATTCTGGCTGCCTGTCCAACCATAAAGGTCTCTGTGGCATCAAGTGTAATTTATATTTTAGTAAACTCTATAATCACTCTGTGTGCAAGGGGCTGAATGAAGCCCACTGTGCAAAGGTTACCTAAAGATATTTCATCCTGTGTTCCCTTATGGAAAGTGAAGATCCTGTGATACAAAACAGTAGGAAGCTCCCATTTCTAGCCTTGGAGTGAACTGCCAGCAAGCATTATGTAATTACTGCCTGGAGATTAGTGCATATGCAGCGTGCGAGGTCTTACTGCGGGAGACAGACAGCAATAATGCAAGGGTGGATTTGTATTTCCACGGGCATGAGGCAATGTTTTCTGTTTGTTTATTTTTTCTGTGGCATGCCTGTGGTTAAAATGCATGGGATTTATGTCAGAATACGGATTAAACTGCCATAAAGAGACTGCATCCTTGGGATAGCACAGCAGCTTCACCAATTAATCAGACTAGTTTTCAATTTCCAGATTAAGATGCTTAAATKGAATTGGCCACAGCAAATATCTGTACGGGAGCTGGATGCCCTGTTAGAGCTGACAGGGATCTAATAGGTGCAGCCAGGGGGARCTGCACTTCCTCTTTGAGAGGAGAAACAGAGGGGCAAGTGCTGGTCCCTTCTCTTTGGTGACCTCTGGCAGGGCCTGAGGGAATGGTCTGAAGCTGTGTTAGGGGATGCTTAGTTTGGATGTCAGGGAAAGGTTCTTCCCCCAGTGGGTGGTTGGGCAGTGAACAGGCTCCCCAGGGAATGGTCATGGCTTCATGGCTGCCAGASCTCCGGGAGCATTTGGACAATGCTCTTGGATGGGATTGTAGGGGTGTCCTGTACACGGTCAGGAGCTGGACTGGATGGCYCTTATGGGTCCCTTCCAGCTTAGGGTGTTGTGTGATTTGATAATTCTGTGAACCAAGGATGTCTGGAGGGTGATCCACTTGATGGAATGCAGCAGTTTGCTTTAGGGCAAGTTTAATTGATGTCTGGGCTCTTGACAGTATTAACTGGGGTTTCACTGTCCATTCTGGGATTTTAGGCAGCTGATTAGTCTGCATCTGTATGCTGGGTGCACACTTGGTGTCCAAAGTGACAACAAGATGGTTTACACATTGCTGACCTTTCTCCCTTTGGTTATTCGAGTTGTGGTTCACACTTCATTGTGTGTTAAATCTCCTTGGTGCTTTCGTTAAGCTGCTGGAGAGTAATGTATTAGCATGGGTGGTGATAGAAAATTAACATTATTGTAAATGAGGCAATGCTTAACCCAGCATCTGAAGTGAAAACATGTGCCAGTTCACACTCTGGGTTAAATTACTGTCACACATCAGCTGCTGCCAAACTGACAGCTGTAACTTGAGGGCTGAAGAGTGCAACTTCTATACATCTATATTGAGTCATAGATTTAAATGCCATCTAGGTTATGTAAAAGTATGGTTTGATAAYGCTGGGAGCCACTTATCAGAAATGACAGAGTGTGTTTTGAGACTCTCCATCCTGCCTGCAAGCAATCATCCTGGGCGATTTCTGGGAGCTCTGCGTGGGCAGGGACAACAGGGCTTTCCAACTGCACTCTGTGGTATGGAATATCCATCCAAATCCCAGTGCCAATGCCAGGGTGGCTGCTTGGACTACCCTGCTTCCCCTGCTGCCAGAAGTTTGGCCCCACAGTCCATCAGTCAGAAAATTATATTCTCAGGAGCCCACATTGGGCAGTCTGGAGTAGCTTGCTGAAAAAGAAATTTAGTACAATAAAGCATCACAGCAGTTTCCCAATATTCAGTCTGTTGTGATCACTTCATTTGCTTCCTCTCTAAACATAAATGCTGTACATTTTTCTAGCCACTTTAAATCTTGCTGCCCCAATTTCTTTTTACTCCAGCACAGAGGGATTCCTGCATCCCCACCTGTCTGACATCTGAGGTTTGCCTCTGACAGTTGGACAGGCATAAATTTAGGAGTAAGATAAAGCAAAAGGGTTGGATCCAGATGGTGTAGTATCTGCAAGTGGAAGAATGCCAAATGCCTCAGCAGGGTATCTGATACTGCAGTATAATAAGTATATTTCTGAGTAAATTGGAATAATATCCAACTCCTCAGTTGTTAATTCCATGTCACTTTGCATAGGGAGAGTGCCACTGCTAACTGAAAAGGTATTTAGGAAGCATCATATACTGCARCCTAAAGCAGGGGAGTGGTTAATATCTTTGGAGGAATAGGGATGAAACATGTAAACCACTTTCTGCTAGAAACAGCTTAACAGTTWCTTTATTAGAGACACCGAAGGCATCAAAGGGCATTTTCAGCAATGCAAATGTTTGGTGTTTTTTCCTTTGCAGAATAAAGAGTTTTTACAAGAGAAGATGTTGCAGAGAGCACCAACAATCACTGAAAGATCCAAAAAGGTACTGAAAATCTCCTGGGCTCTTGCTATTACAGCTGCACTATTTTTTTATATTTATATTCACATTTTTCCTGACAACTACTGCAGTACAGCTTTTTCTAGATTCATTTCAATAAAATAATCAGGCTCCCTAGCAGATGATGGAACCTGAAGATGTTCTAGTGCTATTTCTCCTAAAAACATCAACTGTAGAAACTGTTTGSTTGAGATGTAACTTCTGTGTCCTTGTGCTGAGCAGGTCCGGAGAGTCCCAGGCTCCAGTGGGCGTCTTCATAAAACCGAAGATGGTGGCTGGGAATGGAGTGATGATGAGCTTGATGAAGAAAGTGAGGAAGGCAGAGCAGCAATTTCACAGCTCAGGGTGGGTCCCCAAACTCCACTGATTCTGTTTTGCTTTCCAGTTGTGGTACATCTAGCTATATTTGGGGAGCATGTGGCTTTAAACATGATAAACAGCAAGTTGTAATCCCTTTCCTCAAGTTAGGAGCTGAAGCAAAGAAAGCAGACTGAAGGTTGAAGAAATTGTATTGATCTCTTCTGTCATTGTGGTGGGGCACAGCTGCTCTCATTCAGGGATGTTCAGMATAATTGAAAATGTTAATTCAGACAGCCTGCTCCCAACTCAGCATACTAATTCACTGCAGCTAGGATGTTCCCTTTAAGGGTGCTGACTGCTTGAGATACCTTCTTTTKGAAGTGTCAGGAGAGGTTTTATCCTACTGCCCTCTCCAGGATAGAGCTGAAATCAATAGGGCCTGTGCTTATGGCTGATTCCTGAACATGCAGGGCCTGGTTCTGCAACCTCACTTACACTGAAATTGATTAATACAGGTAGAAAACCTCACAGCATCCCTGAAGTCTCAGGAGTGATTGGTGTAGTGCTTGAAAATCGAGAAAATAACACTTTCCCCTCTCCCAAAATATACATAAATCCCCCAGGAGTTCAGAAGAGTAATACATAATGATAAACTGTAAAGTAATTGTTCATTACAATGAATTTTCAGGTTGTCTTCCCTCAGCAGTCACCAGTGTGGGTTTTGACTATAATGGTTTGCCTGGTCCCTTTTCACTACAGCAGGTGGCTGGAAGTGGACTCTGTTTTAATCATCCTGTAATTGAATTAGTGAGACAGTGAAGGATTTTTAGAGAAAGATTTTCAATATAATATGGAAAAAACCCCAGTATTGGTTTGAAGCATTTGTCCCGTTACAACTTTTCTTATTTCTCTTTCATTAGTCTGACTTCTGCTGCTGTTCTGAATAGACAMTTAAATGCAAGATCTTGCATCTTGTTAGCATCTTTTGAAATACTTGGCTTTTTAAAATCCACTTGATACAGTAATTCCATACTTTGTGACAGCAACTCTTGTGACCTCTTAAAGAGCTTATTATGTCCAGCTTTGTATTATACACGATCGAGGAAGATCTCTTGGTACCAGGTGGCTGCAACTGAAATTCTTTGATTCTTTATAAGCTGAATTCTTCTGAATTCCTTTTGTAGGCTGGAATATGATCAAATTTCAGGAGGCAGTAGTGTAAGAGACCCTAATTCTGTTTCGGAGATTATTTGGAACTTGTTGTATCTTGTCTCAAAGCCTGAGGTACCATGACTTAACCCTGTTTACTGTGTTTTGAACAGTACTTACTTGTTTCATTCCTCTTAGGCAGGAAGAAAAGCAGATTGATGCACATGTTTACAAGCTCCTTTTCAAGATATTTTTTTCCTGATGCTTTGATATATTTTCCTTGTACTGCTGCCTGTCCTGATTGCTCTCATTTGTACTGTGCTGGGCCTTTATTTGTAGGTGTCCATTCAACAAACCTTTAGGATGAATGTTGGAGTAGTAGGTCTTAGTTCAATTACCCCATTGTAGATGTATATTTCCATTTTGGAGGCACCCCATGTGTATGTAACATAGAACTTTGGGCCACCTGTATGTTTCAGGGTGTCATCAAGGGCATTGTGGCACCTCAGACCTCACTACATGTCTGCCTGGGTACTTGAATTTAATTCATTTTCAAGGAATTTAATTCCTTTTCAATCAGTCCTAAGACTTATATCTAAACTGCTGTTTTTTGCCGTGAATATGGTGATGTTATTGAGGACTAGTGTATATCCTGTGGTTTTGGCCTTATTTCAAACACTGSGTATAAATTCCACTTGTCTGTAAATCCCTCTGCAATTTTAACTAAGCCRTAGGATAGAATAACTTGTGTTAACTAAGTGTCACCTTTTTTTCCTGCCCATTGCARTGATGTTGGAGTATTTTTAAAGGTCCTTTCCAACCCAAAATATTTTTGTTCTGTGATTCCATCTGTACCTGCATTTTACTGCTGTCAGCCAAAAAGTAAAAGAAGGCTTTGCAGATTGACTTCACTAGCCAAAATACYGAAGTATTAACCTAGCATAAAGTCATCTACATAAATAAAAAGTGTTTGTATTTTTAACTTGTACCCACTTTACAGAAAAAAATAGGGAGAAATTAACATGTGCAAACATGTATTTTACTAGCCTCTTCCTAGGACTGCACCTGAAAGCAGGCAAATATTTGTTATAACCAGAGCCAAAAATATCTCTTCAATTCATTGAATATGRCGACTTCCTGGGTCAGTTTTACCTTTTGAATATGAAGACTTTCTGAACTTATTTCCTCTCTGCATTTAAAATCTTGAATTCAAATTGAAGCACTTGTGCTCTGTGGGCTTTTAAATCATGCACCTAAATTGTGCACYCAGTAAATCTGTGCAGTGGTGAGTTGTGTGGTCACATTTCACTGCTTACTCACATCWTCTTTGATTACACAAGCAAAAATTAGTTAGAACTAATCCCCAAATCATCCTATTTGTGCCTTAGGTAAATACTTTTTAATGTTTGTCCTGTTTTCTCTCTGTCCGTGTTTTCCATAAAATCATAGAACTGTTAAGATTGGAAAAGACCCAGGATTGTTGAGTCCATCTGTTAACACAAAACCACTGTGTTCACCACTAAACCCTGTTCCTAAGTGCCACCTCTTCATGTTTTCTGAACATCCCCACAGATGATGACTCTGCCACTYCCTTGGACAGCCTATCCCAGTGTCTGACCACCTATTYACAGGAGAAATTTTTCTWAATATYCAATCTTCATCTCCCTTTATGCAAGTTGAGACCATTTCCTCTTTTCGCTTGTTCCCTGGGAGCAGAGCCTGACCCCCACCCYCTCYTGTCAGGGAGTTGTAGAGAYTGAYAAGGCCTCCCCTGAGCCTCCTTTTGTCCAGTCTGAGCCCCCTCAGCTGCTCCTTGCCAGCCTGGTGTTCCAGACCCATTCCCCAGCTCCATTGCCCTTCCCTGGACYCACTCCAGCCCCTCAGTGYRTTTCTTGTAGTGARKGGCCCAGAGCTGCACRCAGCACTTGAGRTGCCTGAGCAGTGCTGAATACAGGGGGACAGTCACTGCCCTGCTCCTGCTGACCTCACTRTTGCTGATACAGACCAGGTTCCATTGACCTTCCTGGCCACCTGGGCATTCACTGGCTCATATTCAACTGTCTCTCACCACTTCTGTTTGTCATTTATSTGGATTAGTTTTCAACTGAGGGGCAGGGCCAGTGTTTCCATACTTGTCTGTACAGTGCTTAGCACACTGATCTTTCAGACAAGTTCCATTTACGTAATTGCTTTAGGCATCCAGGTACTCTTGGATGTGAGCTTTGTTCCTGGAAGAACACTGCAGCAGCTGCAGCCCGCAGATGTGCAGCAGGACTGTTTCTCTGGGAGCAGCGCCATGTTTTCATCCGGCCTGGTAACTGTCAAGTGAAGGCTGAGCGCACTGAGCTGAATTTTAGGCTTTACCTTTCCAGCTGTGTGACTTGAAGCTTTCTGTTCTGAGAGTAAGACTTCTTAACCTTTTCCCATGAGAAGCCTCTGAGTCTGTGTTACAAACTGCTCTGATCTGCACTTGTTAAGGTAGTGGCCTTTATTAGTGCAGAAACTGACTCAGAGTAGGGGCATGATGAGACTTCATATTCTTTTTGTCCAGCTTGTACTGTCCAAATAACAACCTGTTAGACCATTATGTGGAGARGGAGCAGGTATCTTTCTATTCCCAGCATGGACCAAACCATCCCACCTAACTCCACATAGTGACACAGTTGCAAGTCAAAGTTGCGGGCTGTCTGAGTTGCAGGGCTTTCCAGGAGTYCTTGGCAATTCCTCCCTGCTCATGTGAAAACAGCTAGTGCAGTGTTACCTTTGTCTTGCTGATAAGCAAACATTGGTCACATTGCTTTGCCTGCACTTTCCCCTTTGTTCCACTGGTCTTTTTGTTTCGTTGCTGAGTGTACACCTACCTATCAGTTCTCTGCTTTCTCTCACAAAGARCAGAGCAGAATGCAGGGTCCAAGGGCAGAGAGAGCAGACCAGGGACTGCATTCAGTAAAGCAGCATAAGCAAGGCTGATTGYCCCCTCCCATCCTACAAAGGTTCTGTAGGTTTAAACAAGTTGGTTTGGAAACTAGCCCCCTAAGTAAATGAAGGGAATTTGTTTTCTAACAGAATTGTGTCAGGCAGATCTGTGTGCGTCTTATTCTGCCAGATTTGAATAGCTTAAAATGGATTTTCCCATCTTGGTGCAAAAATAATTTGATCCAATCTGAGTGATCTTCAAGAGTCCTGGATTTTGCTTATGGGTAACGATGATAGYGGCTTCGGGTATTGCATGCCACAGTGGAAGTATTGACTGCAAGTTCTGAAGTTTCTGGGTGTTACAATATGACAACAAATTATGTTGTGTTCCTTTTATCATGCATCTTAATGCACGTATGTAACTTGAAACAATTTATGTAGGTTTCTCATGTTTCAGTATGGTTCTGACAAGTCCTACTCAGTAAGCTTCACTTTGGTCTAGGCAATGACATCTTTTTCTGTATTTTTCAGTCTCCCAGAGTGAAAGAACCTGTACAGAATTCCGAGGTAAGTTATAATTGCAAATGGCTTCCTGAAAAGATGACTCCTAGTTATTGCTGTTGTTTCAAGGAATATGCTTTATTAGCCTTTGAAMGCAATGCTGTGTGAAGTAGAGGCTAGTGTCTAGCTGAGCTCTATTTGAAGAGCTCCCTGTATAAGGAATCCTTGGCTGTGTAATGCCAAGAGCTCTTCTGGAGGTAAGTTTGTTGTATGTTTTGTCAATTTGCTGTGGCGAAAGTCTGTTTGTTGTAAGGTAATGAATTGGTCACAAGAATAATCTAAGCAAAACAACTGTCTTCCTTTTTCCTCCTTAAAAAAAAACAACAAACCAAGCAATACAAACTCAACAGAATACATCTTTAGCATGTCTGGTTTGCATTGTCTAATTCTCTGGTTTGGAACCTGTGCTCAGAACTGTGAAAGAAATCTGTAGTAGTATTTGATAGCAAACAAAACTTCTGTTGCAATTTATCATCCTTTTCCAGTTCTGAACTGTTTCTTACATTAGGAATATTAATATATCTTATCTTTCAATGATAGGGACTGCTTATCTTCTAGAGMCTGTGCCATGTCTGTCTTTTCCCTACCTGTGTTGAAAGATAAACAGAGCTGTCTCCTAGAAATTAGTCTTGGGTTGGGCTGTCCTGTTCTTCATTCGTTTCCAAGAAGCGTTTATAAAAGGAGATTTTGAGAAAGACTACAGTTCTGACACTGTAATTTGACATAAATTCTAAATTCAAATAAAAAGCTGAAAACCAGAATCCTTTTGGGATTAATTTTACCATTGGAGGTCTCCTGTCCACGTTTCCAACATTCCTAGAAGCTATCAGAGTAAGCTGGAGGGCACACTGAAGTGTCATCAAGCTGACAGCTCTTTGGCTCTCATGCCAAAATAGGGTTTTCTCTATTGAATAGCAAGAGCTAAAAAAGAGATTAAACTTTCATTTAGCTCTTTATTGCCACCCTCAAATTAATTTCATATGAGGTTTTTTGGGGTGGCTTTTTTTGGTTGGTTGGTTTTGTTTTTTTGCAAGAGACTGAAGTCCWATCCTAAATCTTGTCTAGTGTGATTTGAAGAACTCTGAATTCGCATCCCATTGATATCCAAATTACTCTCAACATTTGCTTTGTGAAAGGCTCAGTTGTCKATAGTTATTTCACTGCTTTGCAAGGTTTTGTTCTCTGAAAGGAACTACAAGGTAAAACAGGTTGCTCTGCTCTGAGTGCATGGTTACTTGGAAATAGAAGTAGGGCTCCGATTCCAGGAAAGAGGGAAACTGAAGGATTGGGTGATCTCATCCCAGCTCGAAAAATCTGTGTGCATGCAGCCTTGCCACACACAGTTTTTGTCTAAGGTCCACAGTCATGGTGGTATCTTGGTTTACTGATGAGTAAAATTTGCAGATGTCAGGACTGAAGGGGTCCTTGAACATAAAGACACATTAAATCCCTGAATGCCAACATGGGATCGGTGTTTATGTCGTGGAAGCCTGGGAATACCCTTGGTACTGAACTTCTGTAAGGGATTTATGTGGCAGACAAGCACTTCTGGGAAAGCTGGTGCTTGAATCAGAACTCTTGAGTTGCTTTTCTCACTAAAACTCCTTTTTCCTTGCAGCTGTTTCCATCAGCTGASCCACCAGGTCCTTCACTCAATGCTCCAGCACAGGCACCTACCGAACTACCTCAGGCTGCAGGACAAGCACCTGCACAACCTCCAACTGCTGTACCTCCACCCAGCCAGGCTCCTCCAGCAGCCCCAGCAGCATCAGCTCCAGCAGCAGCAGCCCCAGCAGCAGCCCAGGTAAGAGCAGAGACTCTTCCTGCCAGCTTTCAGGTTTGCACTTAGCAGTTCTGTTCCAGATGTGCTAGAACCATCTGGAACCATGGAAGCTTGAGATATTCTTGGCTATGTTAAAATAGCTTTCATATGTAAATCAAACCCCTTCAAATCTCTTAGAAAAGGTTTGTGTTTGATCCCTGAATTTTATGCAGCAGTTGAAACACCAGCAGCAGTGAAGGCTGGAGCAGTATTGGTGTGAGTGACACTTTGGATATGCACTATCAGAGTATCTGCCACTAGTGCCCAAGAGTTTATTTGTTGGTAACTTGTCCTAAGCTGAACTTTATGAACTTGAGTCAGTGTCAATATGCTCTTTTTTATAGCTCTACATTGTCAATAYGTTCTTCATCACAGCTCTCTGTCTCAGTGTGTTATTCATAGCTCTCCTGGTTCTTGTTGCTTGCTGGTTACTGTTTTGCAGAGCTTTGGGCTTCTCTGTGAACTCTTGTTTGTTTTTACTGACCTGGTGGTTTTCAGCTTCAACAGAAACCAGATTGTGATCAAAAGGCCTGAGTTGCATTGCTAGGCCAAGAGAACCTTGGAGTAAAATGGTAGTCTTAAACAAAGGGTTATTTTTTTCCCTCCTGTGAAGTAACAAGTGATCTAGACAGAAAACACTTGGTTACGACTTCTGTGCTTAAATTATCAGCCTGGTTTGTGTCTGCCTTGTTCCTGCAGGTATAAAGTCCTTGCCTCAGCACAGGCAGTGAAGGTGACTTGTGCAGTGGAAAAGAGACCGACCCCTCTCTGTTTTATTTGGGTTTTTTTAGTGGAGATTGAGTAACACTTAGCTCTTCACTGGAAATATCACAAGTAATGTAACAAGTGCAACTCCTGAATCTTCCCTTCTGGAAATCTGCTGCTGACCAATATAAAATGCTTTGATTACACATTCCAAATCTTAGTCAGAAGTAATTCAGAATTGAAAAGAAGCAGCTATGAACTTGCTGCTACATGCTGAGAGTGTATGCTAGTGTGCCAATTAAATTTTTTCCTGATACARTTGTATCAGGTTTTTAAATCAGATGTTTGGGGCAGGGATTAAAACACAGGAGGTCTTGAATACCCTAAAACCTTAAGTTTTATTGCAAAGCAAGCAATCCTTTTACATTTAGCACTTCTGAAGTCTCCTGCCGTTTTGGCATTTCTTAGAGTTGTGCAGCTTTTACTCTTTCCAAGGCAGTTGCAGAGACCCTCCTATTTAAGTGTGTTTTCCTGGTTCATTGGTCTGTCATGTTTCTCACTGTAGTGCCATTATTCCAACCATGAGTTAAACTTTTACTTGTATCTATAGTTGAGAAAGGTTATCTTTAGTTTTAAAACCAGAGCAAGGAATTGTTAACCTGCTTTAAAATGATATAATTCTATTGCAGGCCCCACCTGCAGCCCCTGCTGCAGCTCCGGTACAGGAAGATGTGAGAGTCCCCATCAACCTTGTATTAAGGTTAAGGTAAGGATACAAAACCGTCCTGTTCTATTAAAATGAGCCTTTGTAGAGAGGGGCACTGGCAGACTTCTGTACCTTTTAATTAATAGGGTGATGGTTAAATGTTATTTGCCAGCATGGATTTCAGTCTCTCTTACGAAACTGGGACCAAAAAAAGCAGTTTGTCACATTCACTTCAGTTTGGCAAAACCTGTGTGTTGAAGGAGGTTTTGATATTTGTTTAAACATTGCTAAACTCTAGTGGAGTGGGAAGGAGAAATTAGTTGGGTTCCCTGAAAGGATTCAGGGATCCACGGCTTCTGGCCTTGTGCAGGACCATCTTACTCTGCATGYACAACTTCAGACTTCATCCAGTTATGAGAGTAAAGAGCTTTTACCCAATTCAGGGACTGAATTCTGGTCTGTGTCACTGGAAATAGGCWGAAAAAAAAGATCCTCCTATACTCATTACACAAACAGTGTTTCTCATTAAGAGAACCTGCCTCTCATCTCTGGGGGCATCCTGGTTATTGGAAGGCATTGGATGGAGCATCTCCTCTGAGTTCCATAATGTGTACGCATCTGCAGCCAGTGAGCTCCTTCCTCCTCTGAAGCACATGCTCCAAGGATATCTCTCCTGAGGGATATGAGTTGCTGATGCAGTGAAATGACATGGCCTTGTACCAGAGAGGTGGCACTCACCTATTCTGGACGTGCCCAGGCTCTGGTTGGGAGGCAGACTCTGCTGCTTCCACATGCACACCCAAATGATGAGTTTCTGCCTTTGAGGTGGTAGAATGCAATGAATTGATTTGCTAGACTGGTTATTAAATGACAGCACTTTCTTTTGGGCACCTATCATGAAATGGTCTCTTTTATTTAAAATTCTCTTCTTTCCACAGGAATTCAAATAAAGAGCTCCATGACATTCGGTTTGAATTCACCCCAGGGAAAGGTGAGCTAGTGGGAAATTYGAATGTGTGAAGGGGAAGTGTGTTTGGTGTTGTGCAGTTGTGTGTCTGCCCATAGTGCCTTCCTAGAGGGCTTGTTGTTATTGGGCTTGAAGCACTGCTTTAAAACTCATGGATATGGCCACAGTGCAGCCCTTCAGCAAATTCCAGTGAGTTAAGCACCTGGTGTGCACCCTGATGTCTGTCTTTTGTAAAGAACACTTTTCCTGTTTTGTTTGTACAAGCTCCTTCAGGTTTCTGTGTGATGCCTTTACCAGCTGGAAAATTTCTGCTCTGTGGTGATGGCTCTTGCGTTTCTCCCCAACAGATACTGCAGATGGTGTATCTCAGGAGCTCATTTCAGCAGGTCTTGTTGATGGCAGAGATCTGGTAATAGGTAATTACAAATTATTTTTTTGTTCTCTAACCATGTCAGTACTTTTTTGCATATTTAAAATGACCTGATTAGTGGGTGATAGGAGAATCTCTTGTGGCCTTGATTCTCTACCCCAGTGGCTCTGCACAACTGCTGTCAATTCTGGTGACAGTTCTGTGCCATCATGTAGGCAACCTCCAGTTCACAAGAAGATGATTTAGTTGGTGACGTTGTGAAGCAAATGTTCCTTGTAATGCAGAATGAAGTCTAATTGATGCATTAGCCTAATCATTCTCATCTGACATAGATGCATTACCAAACTGCTGCACAAGCCTGTCCTGCTCACAGGTCCTGTGCAAGAGAGCTCTGGGAACAGAATCAGCCAGGCTTGGGTTTAATTAGGGCTGAGAAAGGAAGTGTGAGGTGCACATGCCCTGGGGCAGCAGCACGAGTCATATGGGGGGAACAGCTGCCTCAAACAGCAATTTGCTAAAAAAACGTGTCCTTCTATACAACAGGTGAGATTTTTAAACTGTCAGCACTGCCTGTGTATTTCAACTACAGCAAGCAAAGCTGTTTCTTGTGCACAGGAAAGGCTGCTAGTGCAAAATTAACTGGATTTCCACATGTCATTGGGCAGTTTATTACTATTAATCCCTTCACATCCTGGGAAAAAAAATTGTCTCTGAAAAAGTAGTGTAGTAACAATAACAGCATTTCTACAGTTCTGGGAGCTTTAGATTTAAGTAGGTTGAGTCTAATTGAGACCTAAACCTTGTCTTACCATTGCAAAAATTTGAAGTTTATGAAGTAATAGAAAGAGGACTAATGAGTTTGAGCTGTTTTTCTSCAGCCCGTCCTAATATTTGCCTATTTTCTTTGTGTCTGTGTGATTTCAGTTGCAGCTAATTTGCAGAAAATTGTGGAAGAGCCCCAGGCAAACAGATCCATCACTTTCAGACTGGTATTTATTCCTGTTCCCTAATTGATCAAGTTGTCCCTTGCAAGGAGAAGGCATTGCATGTAGATGTCTACTGCAGACATCTGATGTATGCACTCTAAATCCTCCCTTYTTTCCCAAAGCTTCTTACTGGTTGTATAATTGTAGACAGTGCAGACTCCCTGTTTTTGTTCTCTGAGCAGCACCTGGCTTAAATAACCGTGAGATTATATGCTAATAAATATGTAAAAATGTTGAAAAGGGTATTTTTGGGKCTTGGGATGTGAACTTGCAGAAATATTTCAGGGCAGGTAGATGGGAATTGCCACAGACTCCTTTTGTGGAGGAATAGAATGAGGGAGGGTTCAGATACGTTGTCCCTGAGGAGGAAATGGGGAAATAAAGAAGAAAAAAGGAAAATAAAGGAGTGGTGAGCCAAAGAGAGCCAAAACTGAGAGCAGAGCAGAGGTGGTGAAATTCTGGGGGAGTTACAGTGACAAAGCAGAGKTGTAACCAGGTTATCAGGAGTGAAGCAGTAAGTGCTGTTATTTTTCACTCTTCCTATAAGGAGTTTTCACTTGTTTTGCCCCAGTTATTGCACATACGATGTCTAGTTGGAGCAGATGTTGGCTTACTTCAGTCCCAACCCTCTATAAAAAAAAAAAAAAAAAAAAGTAAAAATATAAAAGCACTCAATTTTAACTTTAGATAGTGTGAGCTGCTGAATACAATGCAAAGCTTCCTGCCCACCCCCTGTCTGATACACCTTATTGTGATTTGTACTGGAAGGCAGAACATGTGTGTTGCTATTTGGATCTCTGTTCCTTGTTTCAGGCATCTGGTGTCGACGGCTCAGAAATTCCGGATGATGGCAAACTTATAGGATTTGCACAGCTCAGCATCAGCTAAACATTGGTCCCAGGAGGTGTTTCCCAACAGAGAACCCACATGTGCATATTTGTAATGCTTCTGTTAGCCTAAAAAAAACCACTACTGCCAAAGAATTGAACTACAGCCCCCTTCCTAGAAGCTTTAACATTTTCCTTAATAGGATCACAAACCTTCCTGAAATTACCGATGATGTTTACACCTTTTGTAAACAACTCTCATGTTTTTGTATCTGTCATCTCAAACATGCAGACCCAACACGTCATTGCCTGCATGTTCATTTTATTATTGCCTTACTTTAAAGAAAAATACTACTGAGTACGAAGCAGGGGGTTCCRCTGCTCTGATGATCTTGCCTAAGTGTTTGCTTACATGTGGTTTCATTTTTTTTCACTTGCTATTTTTGCACAAGTTTTAATACTGAACGGATCTTTTTTTTTGTTTTTTCTTTTTTTTTGGTTCTTTACCTGCTTCTCCTTCTATCTGAAACACCAATGTACATGTTGTTTGGGTCACCTGGCGTGCTGAGAAATCTGCTTCTCTTTGGCTGTGTGTTTTAAAACTTCTGGTTTGAATGCTTGCACCTGAGAAAGCAAGCCAAGTCTTAACCCACAGGAGGGAGAGCCGCCTTCCCTTGTGTTTGTGTTTTTGAGAAGTTCCTTGACTCTGAGGTGTTAGAAGTCAGCTTCCCTTTGTRAACTGCCTTAATTTTTTTTTTTAATCATTTTGGTTCTCTCCACATGAGTGCCAGGCATGGCATGAGGGCTGAACCTTTTAATTTACATTAAGCAGTCCTTTCTGCTGCTTTCATTATGCATCTTAGATGTAGTCTGTTCTTGAATCAGACCAGTGAGGCATTGCTGCCTGGAAACTGGTCTTTCAGATGATGAACACAATATCCACGGKCACAGGGAGAGGAGATBTGTGTCACTCTGCCTTTGCAACAGATGCACTTGCAACTGTCCCTGAAACCCAGTTTGCTCATGCCTGGCTGGCCTCCCAGTGTGTTCCCCAGTCCTTTGCAAGCTGGTACCCRTGGAACCATCCCTGTCRTGTTTTACAGCAATAAAGAATCRCCAGTAGAGTGGTTGTACTGGGCAGAAGTGGGCGCTGGGCTTGTCCCTCCTGCACTAAATCCCTTGGGTCRTGGGGCTGYRCGTCRGCCCGAGCCTCGACGTTTGATCAGGATGTCACTGCACCCCTGTCACACACGTATTTAGCTTTTCTTTCCATGTGGTGTTGAAGTTGAGTTTCTACATGAATAATATAAATTATGCTCTGAGTTTGATAAAAGAGACACTTGTAATGCAATATGTGAATAATAAATGGTGTTGACTCTTTTTTTTCCTACTGTTTCACAGTTGGCCTTTGTAACTGCTCTTGGCTCTGGAGTGTTTTCTACACAGAAATTGTAAGTCTGTAATTTAACACRCAGATGGAAACGTGCTTTGTTTCCATCAGACACAAACAATGCAGAAACAGAGCGGAATGACTAGGTTCAATTAGGACTTTTGTTCTGGTTTATTTTTTATTTTAATTTCCAAGTCTTCAGATGAACAATCTGTATTTATATCTGGATCTCTATGAGCAGCTGTGGAAGCTTCCTGAATTGYGCATGTTCTTTTTATACCGCCCCTGTTGCTTGTAGCCTCTGGGTGGGTATTGGGTATGTCCCCATGGGCTTTTTGCAGCCCCATGGCTGGTGAGTGTGAGGGGGAGGGAGAGGAAGATGAGAATTTGGGAGCGAGATCATCCCCGGGTGCTGAGCTGATGCTCTCAACAGCCCAGGAAGCAAGTGCCCGATAGCAGGGAGCTGGCGGTGGCTGGGTTTGGCCAAGTGTTTGTGGCAGCGTTCCCTGTTGCCTGACACAAAGCACTCCCTACAGCGTCCCCTAGTGAGCTTCTTGGCTTGGGAAGAGCAGGCTGCACCCTGATTTCCCTGTCACCCTGTGCTCAGTGTGGATGTGTTGGGAACCTTTAGGATACAGAGACAAGGTAGTTGTGGTACAGTATTATTTTCCCTCTGCCTGCATGCCCTGGGGACCTCCTCGTTCATTTGTGTACTGGTGCTGAGGAAGGTTAGGACTCAAACTGCTCAAATGGAACAATGCAGCATCTATTTATTGTTATTCCCCATTTTCCCAAAAGCCAGGACTTAGAGAGCTTGAGCTCACGCTAACCCAAGGTTCCGTAGTTCTTTAATGGAGAAAATAAGTGAGGAAGAAGCTGATGGGTTTTGCTCTATAGATCTCCAGATCTTTTGGGTCGGGATCCAAAATATTTACTTGGGCTATTACAGTGCTAGACAACTGTCTTTTCTGATGTTGTTCCAGTAAGTGCCAATGCTGTTCATAATTGTTTTCCGGTGTCATTAAGAATTTGGTTTTTGTGCAAATTTCTGATCTGAACCTGGAAGCAGGTGGTAATTTTAAGTTTGTTCCTACTTTTAAGGACAATGCTCTGTTAATGAAAACGGATCCTCTTCACAACTTTGGTGTATTGTAGATTATAATGAAAGATGTAAAATAGTCAGGCTTTTTTTCCTTTTTTTGGACTTTGTATTTTACTGCATGTGTCTAATTTTTAATCAATAAAGAACAAATTGTCCATTGCCAGGTGTCTGATGTGTGGTTTGCATGTCACAGGGTTGGATGGCATGTCTTGGGTAAGGGGTTTGTCTGAGTGGTGTCTGCAATGCCTGGGACATTACTGTTTGGGGTGRTGTGCGACTTGACAGCCCCCAGAAGGGGGAAGGGGAGATCAAATCCAGGCTGGACAGCATTCTGAGTGATGTGGTCTACTGGGAAGAGTCCGTGCCCATGGCAGGGAGCTGGAACTGGATGAGCTTTAAGGTGCCTTCCAACCCAACCCATTCCATGTGTCCAGCTCTGCAGTTGTGTGCAGACACAGAGCCAGGATGGCACTCAGGATGGTGCCATGAGAGCTTGTCTGCAGCTGGGCTGTGTGCCCCARCCTCTGCATGTCCTGTGCAGCTGGGAATGAGCTTCTCCTGTCCAGAAACACCTCAGGATGATATGGGCTGGTGTGAAAGGGGGRGGATTTATACCCTGATAAGTTGAGAGCATGAACTGCACTCCCGCTCTCCTCTATAATAATTATTCTTTGTGGGTGCCCTGGTCAATGCCAACAGGGCAGCCATGTCTGTTTTCCTTCTTGTTTTAAGTGCCCTTCTCATGGATCTATGGGCAGGAGAAGTATCCAAGGTGCTTTTGGGCACTTCATGGACATCTCAAAGGGRCCTCAGGCAAATGCTTTTCCTACATCAGGGATGGTCTGAACAGTKCTCTTAGACTTGTGCTCTTGCTGATCATTTTAGGCAATAGAGCTGAGATTTGTCACACTTGCCTCAAGCACCATTGTCCTGTGTCAAATTTCTCCCATCCCTGTACCACTTCMCCAAGTCTTCCCCACAATTAGCCCCCAGTAGCCTGCAGAGTAGCCCAGAAYTGGTGGGAAGGGGAGACATGCCATGCCCAACTTGTGTTGCACAGGGAAGCTGCAAAAGATGAAGGAAAGGGCAGCTCCCATCACCTGGAATCACAGTGAACTGGCTGCCCTTCCTTGTCTCTGGCTCTGCCCATCTATTAGCATAATTCCCTTTATTCCTCTGGGCTGTTCCCAGCTCTGCATCATGCTGGGCTTCTTTTGGCCCCTCTGAACCTTGCTTTCCTGAGTGGTTCAGCAGTCATTGTAGTCACTGTGGGGAAATCCATTCCCTGCCAGTGCCATCTGGCCGTGGCAGAGGGGGTGGCCCAGGTTCCCTAAAACAGGGGTCCTGCTCCAGCCAGCGCTGGATGTTTGTGTGTGGCACAGGGATGATTAATATATTACATGGTGTGCTTGTGGGGACTGCCTATGACTGCAGAGCTTATCTGAGGTTTAAACATTAATTCCAGCCCTCTGGGAAGCCTGTCCGAGCACTGTCTTGTCCCAGATGCAGCCRCCAATGTCAGGTGTTGGGGAAATTTTGAAAGCAGTTGGTGATTTTGGGCGATTTCAGAAACGCCTGATACTGCTTTCTGTGATCCCCTGCCTCAGCGTGGCTTTTCACCAGTTCAGCCAACTTTTCATGGTCTCAGATGTGCCTCACCACTGTGACACCAGCTGGATCCGYGCCRTCGGCCCCAACCTGACAGAGGAAGAGCAGCTGAACCTCACCCTGCCCCGGGGCGCTGACGGGCAGTTCGAGCAGTGCTCCATGTACTCGCCCGTGGACTGGGACCTGGATTCCATCGTGGCCTACGGCCTYAATGACACGCAGAAGTGCAGCAGTGGCTGGGTGTACCACACAGAGCAGCCGCCGTCCCTGCTGACCGAGGTGTGTAATCGCYGTTTGATGAGACCGGGGTGTGGAAGGGACGGGACACCCAAATGGCCACAGTGTCCCCAGAGCTGGTCCCTGACYGCAGTGCAGATGGGGTGGGCTGAGATTTACGCAGGTGCATGTTGGGGACCTTGGCTTCACCACGCATCCCCCAAGTGCAGTCCTGGAGAGGGTGCAGGCTGTGATAGAGGTGTCAGTGGGGCCACACACAGAGCCAGTAGGGATTTGAATCTTTCCTGGAGGGACCTCCTGGCCCTGGGTTCTCCCATTCCCTCTCCATACAGGGGGTAACCTTACAGATTAAAATCATGGAATGGTTTGKCTTGGAAGGGTCCTTCAAAAGTYATCCAGTCCAGTCCCCAACATCATCRTTAGCTGAGAAACATGGTAAGTTAAGATGAAAGAGTAGGTTTAGATTAAATATTGGGAAGAAATTCTGCCCTGTGAGGCTGGGTGGGCCCGGCACAGGTTGCCCAGAGAAGCTGTGGCTGCCCCACCSCTGGAAGTGTTCAAGGGCAGGTTGGATGAGGCTCTGAGCCACCTGGGATAGTGGAAGGTGCTCCTCCCCATGGCAGGGCGGTTGGAATTAGATGACCTTTAAGGTCCCTTCCCACCCAAACCATTCTATGGTTCTGTGATCCTTCCTATGTCACTCTTTCCATTGTTGCCCTCTGCATGCTTGCATTTGCAGGACATCTCTTAAACAGAAACTGCTTGTCCCAGGAATCAGCACTGCTCTCATCCTTTCTCCTGTGGGAGGTCAGGTGGTCTGGGATAAAGCAAGCTGCTGCTTCTGTCCCCAGGCCCATCTATAGCAAAATTTGCTGACCAGGAGGCWCCCCTGGGTTGGCTGGGCTGGATAGGGGGGACTCCTGCAGGTCCCAGTGCACGGGAGAGGGACCCCACTGACTACCCCAAGGGTTTGTCCCACCTCTGGCTTGTGTGCCCTGTGCATACTKTGGAGATTCACATCCTTGGAAGAGGGGATCCCAAAGCATCTGTTTCTCCTTTCTCCAGTTTGACCTGGTGTGTGACAAGAAGGAGCTGAATGACATTGGCCAGGCCATCTACATGGCAGGGCTGCTCTTGGGAGCCACAATCTTTGGGCCTCTGAGTGACAGGTGAGGAGCCACAACCCCCTGCCCAGGGTCTGTGCAAAGCCAGCACAGCAGGTGTGAGCCTGTCTGGGCACTGCACCCTGTGCATTTTGTCACCACTTCTCACTAACAGGGACCCTGACCAAAGTCCTYGGGTCCCATGAGGACATGGCCACTCAGGGAGGGGAAGGGAGAGAGAGACAATGTGTGTATACAGTGCTTCACTTGTCACCCACAGCCTAGGCTGAGCCTTATCAGGGTGATAAAAATCACTGTATAACCTGCTGGGCTCCTTGCCATCTCCATGGGGTCTCTCCAGACACGGACTGCCTTCCCTGTTTCTCCCCAGGATCGGCCGCCGCCCAGTCATTCTGATCTCCGTCCTCCTCCAGGGCTTGTTCGGTCTGGGAATTGCCTTTGTGCCCCATTTCTATGTGTATATGGCCTTCAGGTGTGTCGTGGGGGCCTCTGTGTCGGGGATCACCATGACAATACTGGCCTTAGGTGAGTAGGATGCTCTTGCTGTGGAGCCTCTCAAYGCACAATAGGAAAAATCTGTAGAGATAAAAATAATTGCGTTTGACCAGAAAAGCAGCATCATRAGGACATGTGCTCTGCAATGTTCTTTGGCACTTTGGCAATCTCCTCAAGCCTGAGAGATAAGGGGAGCATCTCTCCCCTGCCAGTGCTCAGAGGAGGCCAAGGGGACAATGTCCCAGTTCAGGAGGTCAGTCTAGTCCTCACCTCCAGAACAGTTCTTCTCCAGGGAAATATCCTGTTTGCCTCAYGGAAAATAATTTGGATAACTGAGCCTTCTTTCTTGCTTTCAGCTACAGAATGGATTGGTGTCTCCTCCCGGCCAAAGGCAGTGCTCACTTCTCACTGCTGCTTTGCCATTGGACAGATGATTTTGGCAGGCTTGAGTTATGGCATCCGCAACTGGAGGCTGCTGGAAATTGCAGGATCTGCTCCGATATTTGCCTTTTTCTTGTTCATCGGGTAAGTGGGATGTGGACAGAGCTCCTGCAGACACAACAGTGATGTGGGGGTGTGAGGGAGGAGGCAGCAGCAGCTCAGGGCCAGGCTGGCTCTGTCCCATTGGAGTGCAGGTGCTGGAGGAGCTGCTGTGGAGCTCAGCACATCTCCCTGGGGCACTGGGCTGCTGAGAGCAGCAGCTGCTTTGCTTCAAATCTCCAAATGTGGCCTTTGGAGCTCAGTTTAGGCCAATTGGATCCATCCATCCCATGGGCCRTTCGAGAGCTGGACTCTGAGCCTTGTGGGTCCCTTTTAACGCAGGATGTTCTGTGGTTGTGTGACGTGACTCTGTGGTGGCCACGGCTCGCTGGAYRYGGTCCCAGGGAAAGGGGCTGTGGGGCACTGAGCAGGGCCCAGCAGCATGTCCTGCCCTCCCCTCCTGGCAGGGTGCTCCCAGAGTCAGCTCGCTGGCTGGTGACCAAAGGCCGAGTGGAGGAAGCCAAGAAGGTCCTGCAGAAGGCGGCAGACACCAACAAGCGCAGCCTCCCACCAGGGCTCCTGGAGCAGGTACGGGGGGGTTCTTGTCCTCAGACACTGCCCTGGGCCTTGCAGCAGCTCCTGGAGCTCGGCTCATCCCAGGAACATCTCTCCATTCCACTGGGGGTGGTTTGGGGATGGACTGTGGGGGACTGCAGCTGAGTTCCACAGGGACAAGGTCAGAGAAGAGGCCCAGCTTCTGCTGAGGCTCAGCGTGGAGCTTTCTGGAGTTCACCTGGGGATATGGAAAGGACTGAAATGCTGCTCTGGCTGTTCTCCTGTGAGGATTGCAGGAGTGTGGGTGGATGAGCATAGGGTCTSTGGGTTTCCATGGAAGGGGAGTTCCCTCCTTGCCCATTCCAAAATTCCTACACTGGGGAAATGTTCATCCTGAGGAACTTCTCAGTTCCCACCCACCTGTGCTGGGCACCCAGAGCACAGAGGCAGCAGCCCAGCCCCACTGGTCTGCCCTCCCTCACAGAATCTGTTCCACTGAGGCTTTCCATGGTTTGCAAGTGGAAAAGGAGCTGGACATGGGTTTCCTTTTCCTGCTTTCACTCTGGCTTTCTGTGTTTTGAAGCTGAAGCCTGAGAAACAGACCAAGTCTGGAAGTTTCTTGGATCTCTTTCGGAAGAAGCACTTGCAGAAGGTGACATTAATCATGTCATGTGCCTGGTAAGACATTCCCTGGTTCCCTCTTTTCAGGCTTCTAGGTGGAGAAAAGAAGGGATTTATGGTTATAAACAAATTCACCTTGTGAATTTTGGGTGCTATTGATGGATGTTTCTGTTTCTGTCTGTTTAGATGCTATGTGGTTTGTGGGAAAGGTTATAGCATTTCTAACTTTGGCAGTCCTGTGGTATTCCTCTGGTTTTGCATCCCCTTGGAAATGCTATGGCTTGGTCCAAATGTTGTCACTGGTGACCAAAGCTGCATTTCCTCATGGCTCACAGCTGCTCAGTGCCACCCTGCCTGGCTTTCAGGTTTGTGAACAGCTTTGTCTACTACGGGCTGAGTCTGAACGTGACAAATTTTGGCCTGGACATCTACCTGACTCAACTGGCCTTTGGAGCAGTGGAAATCCCAGCCCGCCTCGGCTGTATCTTCATTCTACAGAGATTTGGGAGGAGGAAAACCCAGGCCGTTCTTCTGGTGCTGAGTGGCCTGGTGTGTCTGATCATCACCGGCATCCCTGAAGGTGAACAACCTCATCCCACAGGGAGAGGACACTCTGGGACAGGGAGGCACAGAGCCCCAACCCGTCCCTGGCTGATCCTGTCCTCCCAGCCAGGGCTGGCTCGCGCCCCTCTAGGCCTGGCCCTGGCCTCAGGGGCCTGCTGACCCCCCAGGCCTAACCCAAAAAACCAAACCTTCTCTTGCCAATCATGATACAATCATGATAGCAGAGGGCAGAGCTGAGCCCAGTGGCCCCCCTGCCCTCAGGGCTGTCCTCTGGGGAAATCAGTACCTGGGGAGGTGATGTGATGGATGCAGGGTGAGCTGAAGGCGGTCACCAGACCAGAGTGTCCCAGTCCGTGCTCAGGCACTGTTGGAGGTGATGGCTCCCTGCAGGTGACACAGCTGTCCCTGCACATCCCCCCAGTCACCATCTGTGAGTGGTGCTGAGCCCTCCCCATCCCATAGCGACCATCTCTCCTCCTCCCCTCAGACCAGCCTGTGGCAACCACCGTCCTGGCCACCATTGGCAAGTTCACTGCCTCAGCCTCCTTCTCCACCTCCTTTGTCTACTCTGCCGAACTCTTCCCCACGGTTGTCAGGTGAGCTCTCCCCACACACCGGGCCGTCCCTCTGCCCTGGCTGGCAGTGGTRACAGGGCAGGAGCCCAGCTGTCCCCAYGGCCACTCTCAGTCCCACGGTGGCYTGGGGATGCTGTTCCCTGCCCACACGTCCCTGCCCCTCGCTCCCACAGGCAGACAGGTGTGGGGCTGTGCTCCATGGCGGCGCGGGTGGCCGGGATCCTGGCCCCGCTGGTCCGTCTCCTGGGGCAGTACCACCGGGCCATCCCCATGGCCATCTTCGGGAGCGGCCCCGTGCTGGGGGGGCTGCTGTGTGTCCTGCTGCCCGAGACCCTCGGCACTGACCTGGCGGATGACAYGGGGGACGGCCACCCCCCGGCTGAGGTGGGTCCCTGGCGCTGCCTCTCGGGTGGGGATGTGGGGAGCCAGTGCTGGGGCAGCCCTTTGGCATTGCAKGTGCTGGGGGATTCTGTAGGAGTTACAAAGGTGGGAGGGCATGGAGTGGGGATGTCCCACTGTGGAGGGAGGGGAGGAAACCACATAACCCTGCCCATGGTGGTCATCCCTTCATTCCTGTYCGTGGGATAGAACAGCCAGTGCTCCACTTTCTTCCCTCTGCACTCCYCAGGGAAGGGCTGGTGCTTTGTAGCCACATCCTCTGGCTTTCAGCCTCTCATAGCTCCCAGCCCTCATTCCCCATGGGAACTGGAATCACACCCCAATACTTTTGTTGTGTTGCTGGGAGAAGKGTGTCCACAGAAACAGCAAAAAATGGGATCCAGGTTGCTGAGRGCTGCTTGTCTCAGAGACAGCTGCCATCAGCTCATCACACCCTTTTCCCTTTCATCAGGTCTGCGAAAATGCCACCAACAGCTCTCAGAATGGGCAGGTGAAAGGAAAAGATGGTGGCCAAGACAATGAGAGCACAAAGACCACATACTTCTAGCGGGGTCTGCAGGTGACTGTGGATAAAGGCAGCCCAGTGAGTGTGGGCACTGAGGACAGGGTCTCCACCACAGGACACCACCATTGCTCAGGCCATCACTACAATTCTTGGGTTTCCTTGTCTGTTTTGCCTTCCTGTATCTCCCTCTGTAGCTTGTCCTCAGGCACTGCAGGCTGTCACTGGTGTCCAACAGTGCTCTCGCTGGAGAAAATCAGGTGCTTTTTATTTAAGGGAAAAAAGAAAGAAATCAAGAATCAGAATGGAGGTATTTTCTCTTCATTTTTCCTGTCATTTCTCCGGGAAGGTGAGACTGAACTTTGTCCAGTGAGACACCCACCAGAGCATTSAGTAAACTTGCAACAGGGAACTGGGCTCACTAACAGGAGAGCTGGAGCAGATGCAGCACTKAAAATAATCTCACACTTGCAAGGAGTGATTTATCATGACTGTCTAGCAAGATCATCGTGTTCTCTCATAAAAACACTCCTTTWAWTTTTTTTTTTTTTWAWTT